TTTTCATGAAGGTTGAACTTTATCCATGTTCTCACGACCACATTGCTTTCGCACACCACCTTGCCATGTGGGCTCGCCATACTGTACAGACACACACACACACACACACACACACACACACACACACACACACACACACACACACATACGATGTGTGGACCAAGATTTGATCAAAGCCACCTTTGCCAAAAAGTGGTAATTTATGATACCAAAATCATTCCCAAAACCGTGATACTAACTGAGAAGCTGCGCAAAGATGCATTTTTTAAAGAAAAAACCCCACCAAAAACATAATTTAAAATTTTTTTGCACTAAATTATCGGATTTTTGCAAAAGTAATTTACGTTTATGAGTTAAAGTTGACATATATGACATTGCTCTATGAGTGAGATTTATGCAGATTTGTTGTAACGTTAGATAAAAGATCAACGTGAATTGTAACTGTAATGCATTGTGTTGTGCGTTTTATTTATATATATATATATATATATATATATTTTTTTTTTTCCCGGAATTTTCAGGAAAGTCCACTTTCATCTCTGGATATAAAAATAGAAGCCCAAAAACAAAAGGTTGCCTGTATTTAGATGTTGACCATATATATATATATATATTCTAGCTATGAATCTGTAACTACTTCATTCTTAATCCTTTTCCTCACACTCTCCATTCTGAGGAAAAACAGTCAGCAGTCAAGAATGATGAACCGTGAACAGTTCAAACTTTTAAACAATTACAGATGGCCATTTGGAGCGGCAGAGCCCAAAAGATAGAGTGAGAGGTTGCAGAATTGTCTCGACGTCTAATTGACAGGAAAATCAGTGCAGGGAGGCAGACGGAGTGAGTGGTGTCCTGACAGGCTTCAGGTTCAAATGATTAATTACCTCCACGCCTTCTACAGGCCTGGCAACTTCCTCTGGTTGATGCTGAGCTGAGTGCCGTAGAGGCCGGGGTCCTCCGGCTTGAGGCGATGCTGTAAGTTATTTTTTTTTCCAATTGTTGAGCAAAATTTGTTAATTCCCTCAAGTTTGTTTGCTTTTTGCTTCCCTCGGGAGTCCCGTCTCCACATTTGTTCTTAAATTTCCAGTGTTATGAATGGCTCAGACCCTATCCAGCTGCTTGTGTTTCACTTAGATCTAATCCCTGCAAGAAATTATATGTGACACGGATTTTACATTGTGAAACAAATATTGTAGAAATGTATCTGTTGGAATACAGAACACGTACAGTCGGCTGAGGATCCCGGTCCAGAAATCGCAATTGTTACTTTTTAAAAGGAGGCCTTTGCGAAACATTTTGTCGTTGTTTGTCGTTTTGTACAAGTGCATGTAGTATTTTGGCCTTTTACCTCAATGTGAATTATCATGCCCTCACTCCCCCATAATATATTTTCCTGGAGGCTCAGTACAGTATATCAACTTTCAAATTAAAAGATGAGTGCTTTATGGAGTGTGAATTGCCATTGCTGGCTCATGGCCAACCTGGTTTTTCAAATGTATTCTTCTTAGTTCTTCAGAGAGTTACTTTACTTGTGAGAGGTTGCTGCAATGACCGTAAAGTGTGAATAGGACTTCACTGAACAGAAAGGGGGCAAGACCAGTGGTAGATTATGATCTTGAATCCAAAAATAGCTTGCTAAAGAACTTTAGTGAACTACTGTAGCTCTTGAGGACACATGCATGTGCAATAATCACCAAAATCAAATCAATCAAAAGCTCAATTTTATTATGTATAATCTATTTTTAAATGTGATCTGGCCAAGAAGGGGGGCACACTTCACATCATACAATATAGTGTGTACAGTACAAACAATAAAACAGTCCTATTCCAAATAAAAAAACAACTCTCGACAGATTACTATCACAATCTGTGTTATTGTAGTTTGGATTATATTTGATTTTGTGTAATGTTGTGTTTGGTTTTCCTGTGTTCATGTCACTTCTTGCCCATTAGCTTTTTGTTCCCGACTATTCTCGTCAGCCCTGTTCATTGTGTTGACCAATCAGAGTTGTCCATATGTGCCTTGTTGTAGTGTTTGGTTGTATTTATTTCCCACATGCCTTATTTCAGTCTGTGGTTCTGTCAGAATTCACAGGCTGCGTCCTTCCTAAGGACGCATTTTCAGCCAAGTGAATTCGCTTCAGGGTAACTCGACTCAAAATTCACATTTCGCCTGTCCAAATTCACCACTGTTTATGCAGTCCATGAAGGCTACATGAGTAGGAGCCTTTAAAGGCGTCGAACGACCCAGCCTGCGAATTGTCATACTCGACTCTTTCTCGAGTTGTGCTGGAAGAGATGTTATGCGGCCAAAAATGCGGACGAAAATGCGGCCTCCGTAGGAAACAGCCTGTGAATTTGCACACAGCCTGTTTCTGTTGTTGTTGCTACATGTCACGTAAATCTAGTCATGTTCTGTTTCCTGTCATAGAAAGTTTAGTCCTTGGTGCTTTGACCCTTACATTTTTGGGACTTTGTTCATTTTGCGTTTTGATAATTACACGTGCCTTGTGTGCCCTTTTTTTTTCCTTTTCTCAAACCCCCCTCCAATCCCTTCTGGTGTGTGTAAATAAAAACATTTTAAAGACTTTGAGAGGGTGTTCCAGCCAGCAGGTTCAACATGCTTTTACTGTAGACCTGTCTTCTCGACTCCAAAACTGTCTGATCATTCGGAGGCAGAATAGGTGATATGTATTTAATCAAGTTGAAGTATTCTCACTTGAATCTAAGACCACAACAAAACATCAAAAGACATCATCACTGGAGATCTAATGTGTTGATTCAGCATGGAAACTGATAGAAATGTCTCAAATTAATTCCTACTTCCGCCTTGAAATTGGAGGCAATAATCCGGGCATGTAGTGATAGAAAAAATAGATATTCGTTTAAAAAAAAAAAGTACCAGAACGCTGCTTGCTGCAAGAGCAAACGAAAAGAAAGCAATTGATGTATGGGTGAACACTGAAGTTTCACTGCAACTACTATTTGATGCGCTGACTCAACATTTAACTGAACTTTCAAGTACAGCAAATCAGAATACAGTACATTTGGAATAACATCTGAATTTCATCTATGCACAGTCTGGCATCTGAAAAGTCTCCTTGGAAGCAGTTTTGTTTAGACTAAAAATATCATTTAGAAAGGCAGGCCTTAATTTACCGGACGTGATTGGACCTCATGCTATTATAGTCACAATAATTGACATTCAGCAAGAAAATAAATCTTCAAAACAACTTTATTGAACAAAGTTTTATTTACATGTGTGTCCTTGATTTGTACACCATCTATCCACTAATGCTATCTGCGTGGTTATTTGTCTTACCCATTGCAGTCAACAGGCGTTCATGTGTCAGGGTGACTTTTCTCACCGGCGACACTCTCATTTGCAAAAACAAACAAAGAAATGTGTGAGACAAGTCTGTGATGTATGAAATTGAGATATATGGCTGGAGAATAATAGAAAGATAACGGACTGTCTTTAAAGCAAAGCGATTCTGATCGATCAGAAACTAATGTGGGAATGCCAGCATATCAATGGGATTGCGGCGAAATGGATGGGTCACATTTTCTTGAGCTGGGATGCGCTAATTCATAGCATCTGTTACCATGGTGAACAAGATGGAATTTCTCTTGCCTGCTTCTTTGAAATGAATTGATCATGCAGTTGCTGATCTCCGGCTCAACTTCCACCAAGTTTCACCAAAACCTCGTTGCTGGAATCCCTCTTCTGCACTCCTTGCCACCCTGCTTACCTACACTGGGGTGCCAGCTCCACCGTGCAAACCAGTGTTTGGAGCAGACTACTCCACTTCCAATCAGGGCTATCCGGACTCAACATAGGTTTCTCTTGTTTCGTACTTGACTTGGACTCACTGGCATTTGACTTCGACTTGTCCCGGAGCCGGACATCGGACTCGCAAAATATTTTAATCGACTTGTCCGAGTCCGGATATGTTTTTGCATGGTACAGTATTCCTGAAAATGAACGTCCTCCTTCAAAATAAACTCGAAATACAGTAATGTTTTTCATATGATCAAAAAAGCCATCTGATTGATTTCCTTGACCGCAAGGGGAATGGGTATAACAAACCCTGCCACAGCGACGCTTCTCAGTTCGAGGTGCATTTTGCCTTTCCCCGGTTCCTAATCTTCTCCTCATCTCTCCCCCAAGGTTGACCACCTTTAATAAAGCAACATTGTTTTTATTTGGTCATCTGAACACACGGTGAATAAAGCAAAGGGTTCTATACCATCTAGTGTTGAGAATAATCAAATCTCTCTAACTTTGTGGTCATGAAAATCACATTTTTCTGTCTGAAGGTTTGTCCTTGATCTCATCTGAACCTGATATGGACTGTGTAGACTCAGACTTGACTTGGACTCAGACCTTTGTGACTTGAACTTGACTTATACTTGATAAAGTTGGACTTGACTACAGCCCTGCCCACAATGGAGCGCAATAACCATTAAGGACAGTTTGGGTCAACTCCGAAGGTCATTCCAGGATAAAAGAAGCTTCTCTTATTGGCCTCAGTCCACACGAACGACATTAAAATGTACCCAGGAACTGCATCCATACTAGCTTCAAATCATTGTCCGTACTTATTCAAAATGTTATGCCTCAAATCACCATTTTTTAGTACAGCTTGATATTTTTGAGTTTATAAGATAAGCGCTGTGTATTTTTCCTTTATTCTTTGACCAACTTGATAATTCACAATTCAAGCAGTGAATATAACCAACTTCCCCCCCCCCCCCCCCCCCCCACAGGTTATTGTGCCTTGTGACACCGGCAGTGAAAAATAAAAATAATGTTAAAAGAAGCCCAACTCATTTTTTTTTCTTTAGTATTAACCTTTTAGACTTTATCCATTTTTTACTTATATTAACCATGTTTCAACAACAGGGTCTTCCTCCCCATATTCTATCTCTCTCTATCGACCCACAATCCTCTTTAATCACCCTAAAACTGCATTCTCTTCCTCTGTTTCACCCTCTACCACTCGCCATGGGTGATCTCATACCTCCATGCTATTTTTCCCTGAGGATTTTTTTTAAGAGTTGTAATTTATTATTTGCAAGAGAAACCGTTATCAGAGTCAGTTTGCTATCGTGGGCCACTTCATTAATCACAAAGCCCTCTCTCTTCATTTGTTCGAGATAGGCTGTGGTTCAGTGGGTTCCAGGCACTGATATAAATATGGAGGAACACTCCCCGCCTCTGTTTATCACCCTATAAAAAAAAAAAAAGTTCTGAGGTATAAACAGATATATAGAGAAAAAGTAGATGTAGTCTTTATTTAGTTCTGGTTTGCAGTTGAGCTGAAGATTCTGTGTTTACAATTTTGCAATTATACAGTCCAATTTGTTTGCTCACTGTTTCTCACACTAATCCAAATGTGTAGACAAGGCACCGCAGGCCACTTTTAGAGTAACTTTAGCATATGGGACCAATCGTTATTCCCGCGACTAAAATGGGGCGATCAAAACAAAATACAAAAGGTGCAAAGGAGAAATCAATGTCAATGTTGTTGTTATGATGAAGTCCCTTCATATGACAGTCAATATTATGTTATGTACGTTTAATAATGTAAGTGAAGTTTTTTTGTACTAGTCTTCAGTGGTTATTTTGTTTGAGAACTAATGGTGGTGTAAAAAAAAACAATTATTTCCATGGCGATAACCCGTCATTCCTTTTATATTTTAAAATTCCAAATTCTTGAAAATGCCGACCTTTGCGTTTGCTTGTGAAACATAAATATTCTCTTTACCCTTGGGCTGAACAAACTACCATTTCAGTAGCAGATCTACCGTAGTTCTATATTTGTGAGTATCCAGTGACCCACAAGGGATTATGGGAGAGCAAGTGAAAGGTGGCCTTGAACTGGAAAAGGATAATCCTATTTGGATACTCCACAAAGAACCCAAACCTAATTTAGCCAATTTTCCATTTCATCAAGCCATATCTGCTCTATAATGATGCATATACTTGTATTCTATCTTATTCTCTCCCAGTTTTTGATGTTTATTATCTTTTGTTAATGTTTTGGGTCTCTTTGCATTCCCTCTACTTGTCTGTGTTTTCAGGGTGTGGCTATATTTGGAAATCGGTGAGGAGCAGTATTATAGCAACAATTAGTCAACCAAAAAAATTGATTCATAATTCAAGTTTGTTGTTTTATCCTTCATCTTCTTGTTGCAGTGAAGTAGAGAAGTTATCGAATATAATAGAACTTAGAAGCTCTATAACATTCAATGAGTTTTTGTTTTCGTTTTTTTACATGGTTTTGAAGCCTACATATAGTGTTTCCATATGTAGCATGTGTGGGTTTCAGGTATGCAGATTCATTAGCCTATTATGTGATACACATATAAAAACCTTATCTACTAAATACATTAGGCATGCTGGCAAAATATAACGATTTGGGTGTTTAGAAACATACACCCACACACACCCACACACACACACACACACACACCCACACACACACACATATATATATATATATATATATATATATATATATATATATATATATATACACACATGCTATATGCTTGGAGATGTTCACAAGACACTTTTATTTTGTGCCGTAGTGTACATTGCAAGTTGTTTGGTCTTGCCACTATGTATAACGAGCACACTGACTGGCACAAGTGCCATCACATTGCAAAAAGATTGTCAGTCAGAATTAAAAGAAAACGCACAAAGGAAAGCCACATAAAAGAGTCAAGAAATCTCTTCATCTTTGATACCTGCACTGGGACCGCTTTAGCGCTCTCAAGCTACAGGGTTTTGTCAACTCAACCTCATGCTGTGGATTTCATGGAAAGCTGCAGTCTGTCACATATTAGCTCTGACAGCAAACCAAAGATAAGAATAAACATGACATTAATGCCACTCTCATGTTTATCAGTGGGTTTTATTTTTTTCATCTGTCCTCTACAGTAAGATAGGAGAGAGAATATTCATATTCATATCAGTCATTAACCCAGTTTTAACATTGAAACCCTTTGTCGGGCACTCAATGAAACACTTATTAATGATAGTTACTGCATTACATTATACTGTTTTGTACTTTTTCATGATGTGATTATCATTACATCTGTAATTATGATATCTCTTTATGATGTAATTTGTCAACATATAATTCTACAGTATTTATATCCTTACTTGTTATTACTGTTGGCTTTTGTCAGTGACTAACAGAAATAAATGATATGTTTCTGTAGCCTTATACAGATGTCCCATCAAATGACCTGCATGGCTGTAGTGCAAACCCTTATAAATGTACTTTAGCTGTAAAAAAAAAAAAAAAAAAGTTCAACTGCTAATATACCACTACCACCCAAACCCCCCAAATTGCAGGCAACAATTCCATTCCTAAAATCCTTTTATTCTCTGACTTTATCAGTGATGAGCTTTGGTAATGAGTGAATTCCCCAGGGTGTTTGTGGGGATGTGTTGTTTTTCAGCGCATTGTTTTCAAAATGTGCTAATGTACTTAGCGTCAACAGTGGCTTTGTGTTGAAGAGCGGTCTTGTCTATTATGATGATGGAGGGAGGGGAAGGTTCTGCTTGGTGGGTGAGGGTGTTTTGGGAAGGGAGGGGAGCAGGGAGAGCCCCTCATGTGAGTTCAAGTACACACTAAACGAGGCTAGACTGGCTCCCATGGGTGCTTGTGCGCTTCTGCAGGGAAAACAAGGATAAGTATAGACATGCATAGATTTACAACCAGAAGTTTCTAAAATAACACTGAACAACAAAGAAAATGAGAAACGATCACAATTGGCTAAAAATGGCAGACATGTTTATTAGGGTGTCAAGTGTTGCGGGAGATGTAGAATGAAAGGCATGCTTAACTTTGAGGGACCGTTCTTTTTTTTTTTTTTTAATGATGTGGATTACTGCACTTGTGTAATTGAAATAAAACTTTTATTCCCTCAGCTCAGCTAATCAGCATGCTTTCCTGTGCACTTGTTAAAAAGGAGAGATGATGAGGGGCTAGGGAAAAAGGAGGAAAAAGGAAAATGGAGGAGACATCGTGTCGCTCAGATGTGGGGGGGAAGGGGGGGGCTTTCGCTGCGATTCCCAGGGTGCTCAGCAGCTGCGATTATGTGGTGAAAAAGAACCTCTCTTGCTTTCAGTTTGCAAAAGTAATGAGAATCTAATGAGGCTTGACTTTTCCCCCCCTCTGTCTCCCTCAGCATTTGGAACAATTTGACTGCACAACAGGTTCCCTCAGGAGAAGCATACAGGATACGAAAAATGGTTCTACACAGGGTGCATTGATGGCTTGCTAGAAGGAAAAATAAGTGAAGGGTGCAAGAGGAAGGAAAGGCAAAGGGGAGGGAGGCATGTCAGGGTGGGGTATGAGGGAGAAAAAGAAGGAAAAGAAAGATTTGAGGACGAGAGGGCATGTGTGAGAAGGTAAGGAGGAGGGGAAACTGAGGATTGAAGGATTGAGATGTGGGCCGGAGCAAGGCTGACAAAAGTGTGGATAAACACTTTGCACAGCGAGGAGGGATGTGAGGTTTATGGAGGCATGGTGAGTGTGTTTGAATTTTGTGGTTGGGGAGCAGGAGTGAAGGTGAAGAGGTTGGAACGCCTGTACGCACACGCGCACACACACACACACACACACACACACACACACACACACACACACACACACACACACACACACACGCACACACACACACACACACACACACACACAAAACACTTCACAACACAGTGCAACATGAGGTACACTTGCAAAACTCATTCGGTCTAGTGCAAGAGGAATAAAAATCTGATATCAATGCTGATTGACCGCCAAGGTGAGCTATTTATATACTTATTGCCTCGATTAAGCATAAATGATGTGAGGAGAGAGATGTTGCATTTTATTTGATTAACTATTGTACAGTATATTATGATTTTTAACCTTTCCCACTTTTGTTTCCAGTTTCCAGAGGGCTGTGCGCTACTCAGTGATTTTCTGTCATTCGCGGTTGTAGTTCTCAGTGCGAATATGGGCATTTTAACACCACTGCCAACAAAGACGTTTGGTTGAATTACTCACAATGCTGAATTCCTCATAAAAGTGCTACGGAATATGATTGATTTCTTCGGATAGAATACATTGATAGAGAGGGAGTTCCCTCCCAGGGTGGGGGAGGAGGAATTTCCTCAGTATGTCAGTGGAGCCGGGCAGCTCCTCTGCCTAGAGATGCTGCTGTGCAGTGGAATCTGTGGATCGTCTATGATGGACAGAATGAACAGACGCTTGTTCAGTGTTCTCCTTTTGTCACAGCTGTCAGGCTGTCCAACTCTGTGCCCAAGACAGAGCCCATTTCCCTCCTCAGTTTAACCAGTTGAAAGTGGTTTGATGGTGACGCAAAACCATACATGAGGGTGCTCGTCACCACAGACTGGTAGAGCATCTGCAGCATCTTTTCGCAGATATTAAAGGAAACCACTTGTCTGAGGAAATACAGGCAGCTCTGTCCTTTCCTGCACAGGGCGTCTGTGTTGGAATTCCAGTCTAGCCTTTCATCAACCTGCACGAGAGAGGTACTTGCAAGTTTGTACAATAGCCAGACTGTGGCGGTTTATGTATGTAAATCAGTTCAGGTTGAGGTCTGAGCCTCCTGAAGCCCTCCACCATTTCCCTGGTCACATTATGTGACAAAGTTCTGAATCATTGTCCTGGAGTCCTCCCCCCCATCCACTCCTGATACACCCCACAAATCTGTTCATGTGGCAGAGCTCAGAGTTGGACTTGAAGTCACGTGCGATCAGGAATCATTTGATCTTTGTAGAGGCAGTATTTATATTGGGAGTCCGATATTGGGCCTGAGCAGGGGTACGTTATGTTGTGGGTAGTAAATATAAAAACACAGTATAGTATACACCTGTTTATATAGTTGAAGTTCAAGTCAACTTTATTGTCAAATGTGCTCTATTTGCAACATACAGAGAGAGAGAGGAGCCGCTGAGGGTGCCTGCGCCACCATCAAAAGCACAGTAAACATAAAATGACAAAATAATGCAACACAACACATAAGACACAGACAGTCGTGCAATCTAAACCATGTTTTCTGCATACACTCGTATTTGTGCTCTGCTCTTCTCTCTACAGTTCAAATAAACCAAACAGCTGCAGTGCAAACCATCAAATCATGAACATCCACTGTTTACATTGCTCACACTGTAACCGACACACATTATACACATATTCTTCAAGACAATATCCTCATAAAACCAGCAATTCTAGTCTCGCTCAACTGACATAAAAGAATGTTCTTTTTTTACTTCTTTGTCTCAATGTTATGTTTCCATCGCTGTATGTTTTACATTACATACAGCTTCAGACGAGTAACTCATGTCAAGTGTGTTTTCCTGCTCCTCAATTTCTCACGTTGTTCTTTTGCACAAAAGAGGCTTTTGAACTTGTTCAAACACCATCAAGCACGGAAACCAACCATTAGGTTGTTTAACTAGTCCGTCAACAAAATGACTCAACAGCATTACACAAATCAAATGATACTAATTCTTCAGCTAACACCGGCTGCGCTGCAAAGAAGTACACTGTTCACTATGGTGTGTAATCTCATGGGTGGCGGCAGTCGGCGAAAATGAGCTCTTATAAAAGTCAGGCTGCTCCACTGCATAAAGGTGCTCATAACCCTCCTACAGCTCTAACCTTTCTGCTCCTATTTAAGCCACGCTGATAATGTTAGACTGTGACTTTATCTCGAAAATTAGCCTGATGAAAAGATCCGAGGCCTGCCTTTTTCCCGCCGTTGACCTTGTGTTACACTCCCAGGCCAGGATGACTCTTCATCGCTTACCCCCACCCCAGCACCACCACCACCACCACCACCTGCTCCTCCTTCACTTTGACTTTTAAACTCAGAGATTCAGTCATGCTTTCAGGCTGCCTTAATGAGGCCTATAGTGCTCCACTGGTCAGAGGACTGTTAATGAGAGAGACATCCGAGAGAAGGGAGACATTGGGAAATGGTAGTGCAACTAGGGAGGGGGTCAGGGGGGGTCACTTGGTTCTGTAGCAGGTAAGCATGAACACTGCTCAAGATCCTGACCAAGTTGTTTTGGTTCACAATTGTGGGACCCGTGTGTATTTGAGAATGTGTCAAAAGTCCTCCTGCACCCTTTCAAGAGCATTTTGCTGGTGTCCCTCATCAAGCAATGCTTGTCTTTGTTGTGGTAATTGGGAATGAATTTGGTCTTGAACTTGAATCTTTCTTTTCAATCAGAAAATACTCTAATTATATGCCCCCCAGGAGACAAAAAAAAAAAAGAAAAAAGGAAAGAAGACACTGTTATGATGGACCGGAATATTTAAATTCCCCAGGTGCTTAAAGCTTTCTTTTTTTTCTATCATCCCCCCAGCCCTCCCCCCCAGCCAATCCACCCCCTCTCCTCAATCACGACTTATCCTGCAAGGTAATAAAACAAAATGTTCCCATGCGTGGAGCTTAAGCAAAAGGTATTTGCCTGAGGGGAAACAGTAATAAGTGCTGTATTGCTACACATTTACTCATGTACTTTTCTCAGTAGGTCACCGCATGCTCTTGAATGATGTTTAAACTTGGGTTAATGCAAGCTGAGACCTGTCAATGACAAGCCACTCTGTGGTGATGGGTCTGTGCAATATAAACTGTTAAAACCCATAAAATATACACTCACCGGCCACAAAACTGCACACTAATGAGATCCAATGCAACATGTGTGTCACATATCTGGCCTTTTCAATTTTTAATACA